CGCTTCCCTGCCCAGGAGTGCTTCAGGGCCAACGGCATCACCGGCCGCCGCCTCATCCACGCGAACTGCTCCAGCCTGCCCGCCATAGGCGTCACGGACTTCGGGCACATGCAGGTGCGGCCGACTGCGGGTCCCGGAGCTCCCTCCTCAGCTCCTCGGAGGCCAGCTCTGACCCTTTCTGCTTGTAAGCAAGCTAGGCTATAGCCTGTCTGCCTGGGCAGAGAGAACCTGAAACTGGACAACCAAATTTTTCAGCCAAACAGTTACATTTCTTGAGTCTTTTCAAGTACATATCCTTAGCCTGCTGAAGATCACAGGCTTTCTCTCTGGGACACCGCGTGTCAGAAGTGCTTAGCCTTTCTTTCAGCCTGTGTTGCCCCTTGAAATTGCTTAACAAGATGCATACACCTTTCTCAGATATCCCTCAGAATTTCTCTTCAGTAATTTTCCACTTACTGATTTATAATACTTCTAAAGATCTAGTCAGTTTTAACCTGCAGCACTTAAGCCACCAATCTCACACAGCAGAAGGGTAACTCAGTATTACTTCCTTGTTTTACACTTTGCTGAACACAAACAGCATCTCTGTCACTTCCTCATTTTATAAATGTAGTTGTCTGGTCATTTTTCTTTCCAACACACATCTTTTCCTTAACAAACACTGATAGTTAAGCTAACTAAACTGAAGCTTGGGGCTACAGTCTGGCCTTCCAAAGCTTCCCAAAGGTTCAGAAAATAAACAAGTTGACTTAGTTACCCTCCTTCCCCTCTCTAATGGAAAAAACAGAGGGACTGGGACCTGTGGCAGAGCCAAATAGTTTGTTTCACATCATATTTTAAAGTTGCTTTCCCCAGAGGACACAAGGTGGAAGTTCAAATAACCAGGAAGAGAGAAAAGCTCTATGCTCCAGTGACTAGAGTATGAATGCTATTTGTTTTATTCTAGAGCACTAAAAAGCAATTTCACCACAGTTCTGTCTGGCTACACGGTCTTCACTGTTTGTCTGAAATGAAATATGCCATCAAAAATATTGACTAATGCCATGACTTTGCCTGCTGGCTGGAGGAGAATACCAACTTTTTCAGCCAGCAGCCCCTCAAGATCATTTCTAGTACAAGCAGATACAGCCTTCGTAGTCATTTGCACTTACTAAAGACGACAAGAATATTATAGGCTTTGTAAGCCTTACCCTCACATTGGGATATAGGGATTATGTATAATGGTAATTTGACTGCAGAGGAACATTAAGCCATGGGTTAGAGGTAGAAACTGTAACCCATTCTTCCTCCAGAAGAAACTGAAGTTCCTCAGAGCTAGGGTAAGCAATAGTCAGCACAGTGCAGCAAGCTTGAAAAGAAGACTCTCCGTAACGTTTTCCAATGCTCGCAAGTGAATTTGGAATATCTCACAGACTTCAGTGGAACCTAGACGTTCTTTAAGCTCATGCCCTATCCTGCTAGTTATTTGTGGGTTAGAGAACTTTATTCTGAGAGCATCCAAGCATATAGAGCTCTGAGCAGGATGTGGCCCTTTGGGTCTTTCAGGAAGCATGTACTAGAGCAGGTGCAAAGTTAAAGCCATAATCCTGGGTACATCAGCTCCCTGACAAGAAATATCAATGAAAGCCTGTGAACAGCTGAAACTGAGATAGTTACTATAGAAATAAATGTGATAGCATCAGCTCAGTGAGATGGAAACTTTTTGCAGTCTAGGGGAAATGGCAGTTTGGTAGAGAACTACACAGTGCAAATTCAGTTCTTTGTCCTGCTGATCTGACACAGAATGAATGGTGGTAGCTGTTGCCCTGTGGAATGACAATTTCTGGTATTTTTTCTTGTACTTCAGGAGATTTCACGACATGTGCGAGAGTTGCTGGGGATTGAGGAACCTCCCTTCAACAGATCCATTGCCCTCCCATACCGAGACAACATGGGTCTCTTCTTGGAGCGAAAGTCCCGATCAGGAAAGAAAGCAGATGCCCTCACTTTCTCACAGTTCATCCAAGAAGCAGGACTGGAGCCCTATATGACAGGTCCTCCTTCGCAACAAGCCCAGACTGGGATAGAAGCAGATGCTCCCCCTGTATCGCAGGGCACCCAGAGGCAGGATTAGAGACTCACACTGCACTTCCACCTTTGTAAGAAGCCCAGCAGGGACAGCAGAATATACCCTTATAACCTTGCACTTTGTTCAAAGAGGCACAATTCTACCTTCTCCCGATTATAGAAAAGGCCATTGCAGCTCCTGGCCATTCGCTGACAGCGAACACATCCCCATGTTGGCCCTTTTCTGCAATCCTGTGTTTACTTCCAGACACTAAGGGAAGCAGAAGCTATGAAACAGGCTGCACCACACTGTCTGTCTTTCACTTCTATTTCACACTTAATTAAAAAGACCAAAAAACAATCATAGACATTTTAATTACCAGCGATTGGTAACAACTTCTCTGCAGCTTAAATGAATAGATTTCTCCCAGGCTTTAGTATCTGCAGACTAGGCTCACTATAAAGCCCAGATATAAGATAACTAGCACATACAGTAACTGATATACAGGCGTCGTGCCAGCTGCTGTTGGTAATCATAATGAAGCGAGGGGCCTAGTTACAACACGCACAACTGGTGCCTGGCCTCATTACAGAAATTATTTCCTGTGAGGCAAAACCAGGCTGTGGTTTATCATAGTAAACTGTACCAAGAGACGTGATGTATGATGGCAGGAAGTATAAGAGAATACTGTAAGCTGAACTAGAGAATTTAAGGGATAAAAAATGCTTTGTCCTGGGTAGATTTGGACAGAATATATAGTTACCTCCTTTTTTCTTGAAAGAAGTAGCATGTAGTCCGTAGCTGTGGTGGTGAAGTACATTGTCACCAGCAAGGAAGTATGAATAAATGCTAATTAAAACCTGGCTCAATGGGAAGAGTGCTCCTGAGCAAATCATTACTATTTTGCCTGATATCAACACTTCCTCGGGATTCCCCATAGAAAAATAATAAATAAATAAATACAGTAGATAAGTAAATAAATAGATAAAGAAATAAAATGTGTACCTAATCCTATTCAGTTACATCTCAACACAAGAAAGACATGTAGCTGTTGGAGCAACTCCAGAGGAGGGCTACCAAGATGGTCAGAGGGCCGCAATGCCTCTCCTACAAGGACAGGCTGAGAGACTTAGGCTTGTTCAGCCTGGAAAAGGGAAGGCTCTGGGAAGACCTTATAGCAGCCTTCCAGTATCTGAAGGGGGCCTACAAGAAGGGTGGGGAGGGACTTTTTACAAGGGCTTTTAGGGATAGGATGAGCAGTAATGGGTGGAAGCTGGAAGAGCATAGGTTTACACTAGATCTAAGGAAGAAGTTCTTTACCCTGAGGATGGTGAGGCACTGGAACAGGTTCCCCAGGGAGGTTGTGGATGCTCCATCCCTGGAAGTGCTGAAGTCCAGGCTGGATGGAGCATTGAGCAACCTGATCTAGTGGGAGATGTCCCTGCCATGGCAGGGGGGTTGGAACTACATGCTCTTTGAGGTCCTTTGATTTACACCAAAGTGGTAGCCACTACAAAATAACTGTAATTTGATTTTTTAGTTCAGTTTTCTGTTGAAACTACAGCAGAAGCAGTTTTTAGGCCAAGATGACTATGTAATAAGCAAATTCAGACCAAAATAAAGCATGACTCCAGCAGCCAGGAAGAAGAAAGCTTGCTGAGCAGTCTAGATTTACTTGTAGAAGCAAACGTGTGCATAGGGTTGTTGGCTGGAATATTTTAAAGAATCCAAGAGCAAACAGTGCTGGTTCTTGCACTCCTAAGTCCCATGGGATGAGACTGGGATGAGATCTCAGCAAAGCATTCTGCCATGGGTTTTGTTATAGTTTAGGAAGATTTAGAATCATAGCCAGCAGTTTCCTCTGGAATTTCTGAGAATACACCAGAAGCAGCTGCGGAGAATGAAGACCTGCCATCCAACTTGACACCAGGCTCCACTACAGCTGAAGAGTTCCTGTGTAAGACAGTCTCCAAATGCTGGCTAGTGTAGTAGAGCAAGACAGTATGGGGCAAGCTTGATCTTTTCTAGCTCCTAGCTAGAGGGAGACTCTCAGTTGTGCAGCTGTCAGGTCAAACCAGGGGAAGATTCTGGGAAGGAAAAACAAGTGGAAGCATTTACAGGCATCAACAGTCTGGAACAGCTTGCTAATAAATTAACAAAGAATGGTTTTCTTTGATGTCTGACTACAAGCCTCTTTCTTGAGTCTTTGGGTCAGACTTGGAGACTTGAATCTAAAATGTTCCAGGCATTACTCTGCCATACCAAGCAAAACTGAGCCTAATGGCTCTAGAATAATCCTGCGCAAGCAGGAGTCCTTTCCCTCAAGCAGTGTCCCCATGACTGAACATCCTTGATAATCTAGTCCGTGATTTCACTACCCACAAGAACTGTCCCATAGGAATTATTTTCTTTTTCTGCATTCAGTGCCCCAGTGGCTTCAGACAATCATGGTAAGTAGCGAGGCAGAAATCAGGGACAAAATAACTCAGGGATGATAGCCCAGGTCTTTTATTTCTAATACACCATGTAAATGTTCCCTGGCAGGTATGTAGTCCTAAGGTTCAGCACCTTCCAACCCAGTAAGTTTCAGAGCAAAGAGGAAGCCTGGACAAGCAGTACCTCATAATTCAACCCTTTACTTACTTCCCTTGAGGCACTGAGGAGGCAGAACCTTTGCTGACAAAACTCTTGCAAACCAGCTGTGGGTAGGAACTTTTCTGCTCTGCACAGCTGGGGCAGCATTCAGGAAAACAGAAAACACTGAGTAATTTCAGTGCCTTCTGGTGTGGTAGGCTCTGCCATGTGCTGCTGCTTGGGGCTGTACAGAAAATGACCACCAACTGTTCAGCATTGACTCTTGCTTTCCCTGCAGGACAAACAAAATCAAATGTCAGTTACCAGTGTGCACACAGGTGTGAAGAGATATCCTCATCTCCCACTCCTGTGAAGTATTGCACTGGCAATCAGTCAGACCTAGTTTATTTTAAACCTCTGGTCTAGGACCATTTTAGGTGAGGGATGCTGAAATTAATAATAACAAAGTCTAGTATAGCTTGTATTTTCTGTAGCTCATCCTCATCAGGTAAACAGGAGTCCTTTACAGTCTGCATATGAAGTCCTATAACCATTCAGTCATCATGTCGTGGTGAGCACTATAGCTGCTTTAAGATCATTTGGCAACACAAGAATTAGAAGTGCGTGCAGACGTGTGAATTGCAATGAACAGAGCCAGCTGGAAGTAGAAAACAGCACATCCATGGAAAGTTATGCCTGAGGCAAGAAGAAAAGATTTTGGGCCATATTTTTGCTCAGAAAGCACTTCTCAGCTCCTGCTCACTGATTTAGCCTCAGAGCTACCATTATTTCACGAAAGGAAATGGTAGCTCTTTAGAAGCTGGTAGCAGGTACATAGAAAACAGTACTCCTGGAAGAAAGGGTAACCCCCAGGGCGCTTATCAGAAACTGGTGAAGGAGACACATCCTGCCTCATTTTGTCCATCCACTTCTCATGCACGACTTCACCCCTTCCCTGCACACTATTTCCACTCCAGCTCCAGCTGCACAGCGGCACAATTTCTTTAGGAGGGTTTCCCTCCCCGCACCGCACTCCTCACACAATTATCGCCAGCCCAGATCCGGCCTTTAAGGATACAGGCGGGCAACCGCCGAGAGCAGCTCCTCATCGGAACCGCAACCAAGTCTGGAGAGAAAAGAGCACCTCTGCCCGGGGCACCGGTGCTGCGGCCTCACGGTGGCACTGCAGCGAAGGAGTTGCTTCAACTTGAAGGGCGGAGGCAGCCGAAATGAGCGTCTCGGCTCGGCAGAGGACGGGCAGGGGTTGCCCCGGGGAGCCCGTGTCCGTGCGTGGCTGGCACCGCGGGGTTTTAAGGTCCAGCGTGAGAGAAACTCGGACGAAGCCTCGAGGAATATCCCAATGCGCCATCCATGGCTGCCTCAACGGTTGCTGGTATTCACTCCTTTAACGTTTCTTTCCAATAGCCATCTTAACCGGCTAGAAAGGTTCTTCCTATCTGATGGACCCTCACTGGCTTGTGTTGATCCATCGGCCTTAACAGTGCCAACAGAGAGATGGCCACAATTAATTTTGACATTTAGTGGTCTGTTTAAAAAAAACCAAAATACGATGAAACAAAACCAACCAACCACACCAAAAAAACCCAACAAAACCCCACAACCAAACAACATAAAATAAAACATCAGAAAAAAAGGTGTGTGTAAAATCATCCCTCGCACACAGGTCATACCACAACTGCAGAGGCAAAAGGAACATGTCGAGATCCAGGTCTCTCCCCACTGCAGACAGATTCCCTCAAGTAAGGTCTTGTCTCTCCTCCCCTGCCTAGCTGGATCACCATTACTTGTCTGCTCTCCCTCAGCCCTGCAATCAACAGCCAGCATCACCCAGGTTTATCTGATGGGGAAGAAACTAGGTTTAGCTGGTAAGGGAGGAGGAAGCAGTTATCTTTTGCAGGATCTGCAAAGCTTTTACTATTAAACCGCCTCACATACAGCATGAAGAGCAGTGTCATGTTTGGCTCCTCACTGGTCACCTCAGGAGAAGGCCAGGATTGGCTTGATAGCAGGGGCTGGGCACCACCAGGGCTCAGGACCAGAGGGTACAGGTCATACCCCTGCACTTAGAGCCCTTGAAAGAGCTACAGCAGCACCTTAAAGTGAAACCTGATGCACTGGGTTTGCTTTGTCGACCATGGAGACTGCAGGCTGCTCCTTTGCACCTTGTTTCCTGTGCTGCCTCACAACGGATTATCTTGCAGCAATAATCTGAGGCCCTGGCGGGAGCAGAGTTTCAGTGCCAGCATTGTGTTTGATCTGGAGCTCTCTTGACTCCTTTTGATCGTGTTTTCAGGTTTATAGCCACAAAGTCTACGACTTCGTCTAGACAATCAGCTGAAATTCTGAAGTATTCTCATGACTCCAGCAGCTGGGGACTTGGGGAAGTGACCAGCTGTGGCAAGGCTTGCAGTGATGTCTCACAATAAAATTGTGAGAGGCAATAAGAGCTGTGCTGCTGCACAGCCCCGGCTCAGCCAAAGTACGTGCGCGGTCCCAAACTACAGCAGCACATCCAGGCTCTGAAACGACAGGGTCTGTTTTACCTGAGGAGAGGGACAGCGGTGACGAAGCTGTACGCAGGGCAGTGTTTCTGGATGCCAGAACGATGAACAACGGAGCAGATGCTGCAATGAGAGGCAGCAGAGGAATGCAACGTCCACTCAGGCCACCAGCTGAGTGTTGTAAAAGCACGTGAGCCCCTTCTTCTGCAGTTCTGCTGTGACATGCAAGGAGAAAGGGACTTGAGCCTACAGACTGGCCAGCACCTCTGGGCACCAGCAGTGCATTTACCTGTGCTCTGTCACATGCAGGTGAAACACAAACCACCACTCCTGGGCTGGGATCACTGTCTGCCTGCCCAAAGTGGCACAGAGGCACTTTGGCTGCTGCCCATCACTGTTTCTACATGGCAGAGGGCAGCAGCAGGGTGACACAGAGCAGGGAGCTTCTCTGCTAGGAATAATTTCGCAGAGAGCTTAGCTGCCTCAGCTGCCTGGCCCCAGCTCACACAAGCTGATTCAAAGCCTTAAGCTGAAACAGCCAAGCCTTGGGATCTGGCTAGTTTTCAAGACCTATAAAAAGCCATTTAATAATCCCTGCTTCCTCTCTGCCCTGAGATGATTAGAAATAGGATTTTATTGTACCAAGCATTTCCCTAGAGGACTGTTCTTCCCACTTATTTTACATAAGAGTTTATGGGGCCGTTGACCATTTGCATACAAACAGTTGCTGTAATTCTGCAGGCTGATCTCCTCTCCTGGCTGGGCATTCAGAGCCCAGTCAGAGGGTTGGACTGACCCTGCAGCCCTGAAACCAGGAAAGGGACATTTCTGTTTCAGCACTGCCATTCATTCTGGGAGGTGTTTTCTCTACTGGTTAACAACCTGGAGTCTCAGTCACCAACCAGGCTCTTGGCAAATGACAAGGAGAATTTTGAAGAGCCAAAAAAGGGGTGGGAGACTAAACTAAAATGGGCCTTAAACTAACTAGCATTCAAAGAAGAGGGTTAACTACACTCAGATGAGATGGGTAAAAAAAAGAAAATGACTAAATGTTTGGTGCAAACTGCATGCTCAGGTCAGGGGACCAGTGGGCATGGCCAGACCACAGGTCCCCTGCTGCTGGACTCACACACCTCTGTCATCGGTCATACCGCAAGCAGAGCATCTAGGACTCATGTTTGGAGAATACAGGCCTGAAGATTTACTTTATGACTTGATTCCTCCAAAGGTATGTTCAGTTTCTCCCATTGCTTCCTTTTGTAAATTCCAACCACTGTCACCATTCCAGCTTGTACAACCAAGTAATTTCCTGCCCTCACGTGCATGGGAGAGCCTGGCAGCAAACCTCACACCAGGGTTGCCTTAGGATGAGGGCTCCCAGCAAGCTAAGGAAACTGATTCTTCCTCTCTAAATCCAGAGCATCATGTCCAGTCCTGGGCTCCTCCGTATAAAAGAGATGTGGACATACTAGAGAGCCCAGCAAAGGGCCACTAAGCTGGCTAAGGGACTGGAATATCTCCTGTAAAGGGAGCGGTGGAAAGCTAGGACTGCTCAACCTGAAGAAGGCTCAGGGGGGATCTTAGCAATGTGTGTAGGTATCTGATGAAAGGGAATGAAAAAAGGGACCCAGACTATTTTCAGTGGTGTCCAGTGACAACAACAGGCAGCGGGCACAAACTGAAACATGAGAATCCATCTGAAGACAAGGAAATACCTTTTTACTGTAAGGGGCATCAAATTAAGGAACAGTTTGTCCAGAGAAGCTGAGTCGTCTCCAGCTGTGGAGATACTGAAAATCCAAGTAGACAGTCCTCATCTGCCTGTTCCAGCAGGATTGGACTACAAGATCAAGGGGTCCCTTTCAACCTAAACGATTCTGTGAGGAAGAAAAAATCCCTAAACATCAATAGAAAAAAGTTGAGAGTGCACAGTGCAGCAAGGAGGCTGGAACCTAAACTTGCCCTCAGACTGACAGATTACTACATATAACCCCCACCTTTGTGTGACCACTCCTGTGGCAACAAACTCTCCTACAACATCAGAATTATTTAATCTGTGCTGATGGCATTGAAAGTGTGAAATAAGGTACTGCTGCAAACAAAGCTGCTCCACGGTGACACATACTGTGCTTTTCAGGACATGAGAAAACATCCTGCACACTCACTTTGTGGGAGGTGTGGTAAATTGCTCAGGATTAGCACACAGAGCAACAAAGTGCTCAGTGTGGGAAACAAATAAATAGCCCAAGGAGAAAGGGACAGCTTTATTTAAGGAACTGGAGTGAAGTCTAGAAGGATGAAGCCAGCAGTTGCCTGAGGAGTTGTGTTTCTGAGAAAGTGCAAGTGAATCCTTCCTGGCATAACACTCTGAGAAAAGGGCTGCTGGGACCAGCAGCCTTGTGCCAGCCGAGAGGGGTCCCTCCTTGCTCTCAGTCCAGCCCAGCAGGGCTCTGACCAACTTCACATGAGATGCCTGTTCTTCCCCGACAAAGAGATATTCCAAGAGCTGCAGAGTGCCAGCACAACAGTACTGGCAGAGGCTGCTGTCCTGGCTCTCTGCAGGAGTCCATACAACACCTTTTTTCCTAGAGTGAGCTGGAACAAACCAACAACAAAAAAAGAGCTTTAAGGTGCAGCTGGTCCCTTCCACCAACACACTCTTTGATGCAGGGAGAACACAGTCCAGTAGGCTTTACTCCATCCAGGCATGACTGGCGATGCCCAAGCCAGTGTGAATGTTACAGGAACTGGTCAGCACTGTCTGGTAGAGACCCATGTGTGAGATTGACCTGCTCCTCCTGCAAGGATAAGCCCAGGCACCATCCAGAGCAAACAGTACCTTACTGTGCTCAGCAACTTCCCTCTGTAAACAAAAGTGCTGCCTGGCTTACAGCCAAGTCAAAGAGAATCAGATTCCAAAAAGAATCAACCCTGGTGGATCAGTACCATGGTTCTGCTGGCTACATTGGAGCAGCTGCCTTCAACCAGCCTGAACGCCACTGTCCCACAAGCCATGGGCACCCACTGTCACTGATGAACGTTGATCATGCAATGTGTAGTAACAGAGTTGCTCTGTCAGCACTGGACTGGGTTTTGCAGTTTCCTCTTTCACTGGTAAGGCAAAGGCCAAGCAGGCTGCTTTACAGGAGCTCAGTTCTTCCATCGGATTTGCTAAGAGAGAACAAGACATGAGTAACATCAGTGCTGAACACAGATCTCTCAGGGGCCAAGTTAGTCAGTGCTAATCCCTGACAAGGACAATGATGGCCACAGGATGCTATTTCTATCAGTTCCACTTTCATTCCTACACTGACTGCAACTCCAAACATATGATTAGTTTCCCAGCAGGGATAAAAGATATGTAGGACAGCCATGCCCTTACACCTAATCTATGGCCGTTTCTGATGAGTCTCAGGAAGAAAAAGTAGGCATTTCTTACCATGTTGCTGAGAATGCTGTTTATCTTCTCTTCTTCTGCAGAGCCTCGCTCCACCTTGCATTTATACGCTGTCAGTTGGATGCGATCCTTTAGATCCCTGTAGGTCTAGATAAAACAGGAAAATGACCACCCATCTGAGTAGAGAAGACACCAACTTCTCCTCAAGTTCCTACCACAGCACAAAACCACAGCACAAACACTAGAAGCCAGTCTCCTGGCTCACTTGGCTTCCACTGGGAATCATATCACTGTTCCCAGGACATGGGGACAAACAAACCAGGCAAACCAAACAAACAGGCACATGACAGCAGTGGCACATGGCAGAGCACGGGATAACTATGGAGAAAAAGCAGGCTCTTTTCCCATCTCTTCACAAACACAGCAGGGACTCACCTCAATGACAACATCATGGCACTTGTATTTGGTGGCAAGGTTCAACCGTGTCTCCACATCCTCCACCAGGCGCACATACTCCTGCAGCACCTGTGAGGGAAGGAAGAGTGTCCCAGCAGGTACCTCCTGCCTCGTTCTCTCGCCCCAGTCACAAAACCTTTCAAGGTCGCTGGTCACACAGACTTGACCCCTTCCTTCCCAAGATCAAGTGACCAGGACAAAACTGCTCAGGACCCCAGAGGCAGTAAAGCTCACTCACGAAGCTCAGAATCCTAGGCTACCTTGTTCTTGTGGATCAGGTTGACCACTGCCAGCAAGATTAAGCGTAAAAAAGTTAAAGTAGTAAACAAAGGTGGCAATGCACTGTGTGGAGAGAGTTCTCCCACAACTCTAGGCCTGCTAGACCTAGGGCCCAGCCCTCACTACCATCCATACCCAGTGACACACAGGTCACTCAGCTGAGTGCTCTGCCAACCTGGCGGAGTCAGCAGTTTGGCAAGCTGTTCTCCCACTCTCAGCTAGGGAGCAGATCACTTGGGCGATCATTCACACCCTAAAGCCCGACAGAGAGCAGGAGGACATAAGCAGCGGTCTCTTGCTCACCTGCACAGGAGCGTTGTTCCTCTGCAAGATCTCCACCACCCGGTGGAAACCAATAGGTGCCTTCTTCTTGGTGTAGCCCAGCCAGTTCTGAAATGAGAGCCAAACCCTCTGTTAATCCTAAAGGGCAATGCCACCAGTCACAAGAAAATGTTTTTCCCCAGTGTCAGCAACATACTCCACCAGCGACCACATGCACCACTGGCAGAACCGTGTTCATGCAGTGGCTGGGTGCAGGTTGGCTGCAAACCCTTTGGTAACAGAGGATGAGGGGAGCCCCCTTCTCTGACCTTGTTGCTGCAGCCAAACCAGGCCCAGTAGAGGTTTTAAGGACATGTGGTATTGCAACACTCTGCAGCAGAGGTGATAAGCCCTGCTGAAATACAGCCAGTCTGTCCAGTCACTCCAGAACAAGCCAGTTATCAGTAGTAGATATGACGACTTGAAACTGAGTCACCAGCAAGGCTTTCCATAGCTCACCTTGGTGGTGAAGAGGGCATCCACATCATCCCAGGCTCGGAGCTTGGCACGGGCAGCCAGGGCAGTCAACACATACTGCTTATCAGGAATCTGCAAGGCAAAAAGCTGCAGTCAGGGCACTAGTACAGCTCAGAAGGCCTGTGGGGGTTGGTCACGAATGGCACAGCTGTGCCCAGCCCTGTCAGGACCCACACCAACAGCCATGCAAGGAGGTGAGAGATGCTGCCTCAGTCCACAGCCAGCACTGCAGAGAGCCCAGGGTGGGGATTTGCAAGTGCAGCTGCAGCCAGGGTGCCTCAGCACGGCTCCTGCTTGCCTTTCTGAGCCTTCAGAACAGCCCCACTCAAGGAGGATGCCATGTGCCCCTCCCCATCTCAGTGCTGAGGCCCTCCAATTGCTTCTACACAGTCCCCTCACTAAATACAATTTGGCTGCCCATAGTTTCAGCTAGTACTGCCATAACAGCAGGAGGCTCACATACCTTAAATGTTTTCTTCAGGTTGGCTGGGCTGCTGAATGTTCCCTAGAGAGAGCAGACAAGTCAGTGAGGACTCAGCAGGGCACACCATGCAAGAGGATCAGACACCTGTCGTAAGGCATTTGCCTCACACAGGGTCAACCTCCCCAAGTTTTTACTGCTTTTTGCTCACGTCAGTGCCACAGGAGGAAACGGCTGGCAGAAGAGAGCAATTATCCTACCCCATTAGATCTCTAGTTTGGTTTCCCCTACATCCTCAACCGGTACACCTCCAGCACTTCCAAAACCAGTAGCACACACCACATTTGCACAGGATTAAAGGCCAGTTCTGGCTCCTTGGAGTCAGAAGTAAAAGACAGTGGTTTCTAGGAGGCAACTCGCTGATAGGCTGTCCCAGGTCAAAAGTCCCATATTAGAGCACAAAAGAAAACTCCACACTGGTCCCAGATGAACAAGAGGACCTGGGTTCCTCTAGGTCTCTCTGAGAGGTGAAATACAACCTCCTTCTTCCTCTTTCCTTAACATGCCCCAGCTTAACCACTCCACATACTGAGGGCTACAGAGATGAGATGTAATTGTTCTCCCACATCGTCCTCACCTCAGCCTCTGTGTAGTGGTAGAAACAGGAATAGAAAAGGGTGGTCACTAGTGGCATGTTGAGAATTGAAGCCTTGCGAGGATATTTCCGAAATATCTCTGACTGTCCAGCTGTCTCCAAGTGCCGATCATTGGCCTGCGAAAACAGGAAGACAGAGAGGGTGAACATGAGCCAGGACAACTGCCTGACCTACCTGTGAGGTAAAAACCTGGGGAGACTGTTGTGATAACAATGCACAAGCACAGCCTCAACATGCCATGTCTCAGGTCTGGCATTTCACACATGTGCCGGGCACAGCAGCTTGGATAGCAGTTAAACTGCACTAGCCAGGGCAGCCTGGTTAGACCCAAGTGGCCTAAGTTAGGGACAGATAGAGATCTCACAGCTAGACACAGTCATCTCCTGACCAGTAGGGAACTTTTCATACCTCAATGATGATCTGTCGCTCCAACAGGGTATAATGGTCTTGGATGTGGGAGGTATCCTCAGCTGAAAATGGCAGCCTGGCCAGACATGGAGGAAGGAGACATTGTCAGCAGCTCTTAACATAATACTTAGAAGGATGGTCTTCTCTACCAAATGGGATCCCCACAGACAGAGATGTGGAAAACACCTCCCCTTCTCCTCATCCTGCGTGGCTAGTAGGTCCTGAAGCTCCTTCCCTGCTGCCTTCTCCAACTGGCGCTCTCCTAGACAGTCTCCAGAGAGCAAAAAATTACATGGCATCTCTCACAGAACAACCTAAAGCTGATGCTACCAGTTTCCTCAAGTACTCAGGAACCCAAGCTTTCACCCTTCACAACCTGAAGGGTCAATTATCAGAAGGCCCCTGAAAGCACCTTTGCCTCCAGGTAAGCAGAAAAAGCTACCCCACATTCTTCCTCTGGTCTACATTGTGTCCACAACACCCCAGTCCCTCTGAGGCAAACTCAGCATCAGCTCTCAAACTACACAAGCTGGGACAGAGGTCTAATTTTCTCTACTGCCACCTTCCATGAAGCACTTACATCCCCTTCCCATCCTCTTGCGTTTTGTCTTACCCAATGCAGCCTTTCAGAAATTCCCTCCTTTTTTCTACATCCTGGATGTTCAAATGCTCCCGGTACTGGGACAGCTGGAGGGAGAGGGAAAAGAAGCACAGTCTGGTCTCATGGACTTGGGAGATACAGGACTCCAGATGGGGATGCAAAGCTCTCGCCTGACTACAAGACACCCTGCAGACAGCCTCCCCCTGCCCACTACTCTTTGTCTTCACTGAGCAAAGGGAGCTTCTGGTCCTGAGAATACTCACAGCAACTTCCTCAGTCCTGTCTAGGAACCTGCAAAAGGAAATGGGCAAGCATTAACTTGAAGGCAGGTTCCTGGCAGCGTGCCGAGCCCCATCACAGCTGGGGAAGAGCCTCACCTGAGCAGATCCAGAAGAAACTTCTGCTCACCCGTCTCTTTGAGGAAATGGATCAGATGACACAAGGCCACCTGCCGCACCTCCAGCTCCCGAAACAAGATCTCTACAGGAGAAAGAGATATCTACAGGTGAGTGAAGTAAGTTAGTTCTACCAAGCCAGGGGAGCTAGTCTGGTGCACAGACTTGCAAGCCACTGGCAGGATTCAACAACTTGAGCCCATGTGAAAGCACAGTCTTGGAGGCTAGAGCACAGGAGAAGAGCCCATTCACCAGGCTGCCGGACGAATTCACAGCAGTTTGCTACCCATACAGATTCATTTTCATGCATGCCATCACCACTACCAGCTACCTCTGTCTAAAGCTCCTCTCTGGGGCCTTTGTGCGTATCACCATCCCCACTCCTTATGTGACATTTGCTGCAAAAATAGTTTGTGCCCAGTAAAGGAGCAACAGGTCACATGCTGTCTTTGTGACTTTCAGCCAGCATCAGAACCAGCCCCTTTGCCCTTAATCGAAACTCACTAAATGAACACACTGGTCCCAGTTGCACTTACCTCTCCTCAGTGTCCGTTTCAGGAATATCAGGACCTGTGAGTACAGAGAGGCAGTTCTCAGATGACCAGAATTAAGACAGACAGACAGCAAATGGGTCAAGGCCTTGGAAACATTTGCAAAGGGCCTCTAAGACATAGATTTTACAGCACTGAACTGAATCCTGCTACCCACTGGACTCGTTAAACACAGGAGAAGCAGTGAGCCAGAGCCACAGCTGCCTGAATGTCTGCCTAAGCTCATACTCTGGAGCTTAGATAAGGAAGACTAAGACCCAAGGGAAAGACCTAGATGAAGGGAGCTTTGACACACAGTCCCATTTACTGCCTAATGCTTCGGAGGCCAGATAAACTGGAGAAGCCTCTCAAGTCTTCTGTGGTGCAATGAGCAGATTAAATCTCAGACTTCAAGAGGCTGCTCCAAAGATCTGTAAGGCTGAAGGATCAGGTTTCTTGTCATTAATCTGACATTGATTCTGCAGAGTGGTAGGAAAGCCAGCAGGAAAACAGAACTTCCAAGTCTTAAGCTTTAACACTTTTCAGTAACTTCATTGTTTTAAGCAAAGAATAACCCCTCATCCTGGAAAATTAGATGGCCAACTGACTGCATTTCCACAAGCATCCCCTGTGGGGTCACCCAGGAAGTCCCAGCCCTATATGGCCCCAGCAGAACTCACAGCTGTAATGACATTCCCATCATGTCCTGCCACAGCTTCATCCAAGAGCACCAGCTTGTCCTGCAGGGAGCGGAATCTCTCCAGGGAGCAGACCTGGAGATTGAAGAGGTGTGAGCAGGCATATGGGACACCAGACAATCCCCAGGCTGAACCAATCCCAAGGTACTACCTATTCTTCCCACTTTAGCAACATAAATAACTGCCTTCCCAACCAGTAGAAAACTTCTCATTTAGCTGAAACAACGTGCTGCATGATCCCTGGCAATCTGTCCACAAGGCTTGCAGAGTTAGCCCTTGTTACTGCCCAGGCTAGGCCAGCAGACATTGTACATTTGGCACACACACCTTTGCAACAAGGCAAAACTTCCCTCAACACCACAAACCACCAGCCCTGATTGGAGGAGGGAACTCTGCAGGGTCCTTCCCACAGAGGAGACTGGAGAAGTGGAGTTCATAGAATCATAGAATGGCCTAAGCTGGAAGGGACCTTAGAGATCATTTTGATCCAGCCTCCCTGGCGCCAGGGACGCCACCTGTCGACTAGATCAGGCAACACATGGGGACCGAACAGGAATCGAACCTGCGACCTTAGTGTTGTTAGCACCACGCTCAACTGACTGAGGATTTAAGAACTCCTCTCCTTAGCCCATAACCGCGGCCTCTCTCAGCCTTTAGTTCACCTCTGCCTTTGCAGAGTAAACTCACAAGCTTCCTGTGCTCATTGCAAACTGAGGCAGCTGCGATTAAGATTCCAGCTCCAGTGTAACCAGGATTTCTTCTGTCTTCCTCCATTTGCTACCAACCAAGAAGGGAAGACCCACACCCTTGGATTTTTTCCATAAACTCAACCCCAGAGAGCAGAAAGGGCAGAGAGGGTCACAGCAGTACAGATACGTCCTGCCAGACCCTAGCTGAGGGGATGACTCAAGAAATAACACAACAAAGCCCTGAAGGTCTTCTGCTGCTCCTGAGCTGGTGTGATCCCAGCACTACCTCCGGGCAAAGCAGTAGACAGGCAGAGCACCTTCCCTGCTAGATGCTGCAAGCAACACGGATCCCCTCCCCATTCCTGGAACAGCCAAGGGCACAGGGAAGTGTAAAGCAGTTTAAGGACCACCCACCCTCTGTCTCCTGCTAGCAGGTGGAAGCGGAAAGTCCTTACCTTGCCCCTCTGCATTCGCATGACTGTATCTTTGGGGCTCCAGTCACTGCTGTAATCCTGCCACAAGAAATATAAGGAGGTCTTGAGCCTCAAGAGGCCAGATCATGCCAGCAGTCCCCAAGCTGCTCTCCAGTGATGGCCCACATGGAGCTTCTGACTCATCATTCAGCTGCTCCAGGGGAGTTGTTAAGTGTCCAGGTGCAGATGCTGGGCCCTCAGATTCTGCACGGTGGTGGGGAGCGAAGCTAGAGGCTCAGATGTTAACACAGAGTCTTTCTATTGCCTCAGTAAGGTCCATCATCATATCCTTATAAGTGCATTTTAGCAGGTTGTCCTTCTTGCACATTAAAGCTCCAATGTTGCTTTCAAAAGTACCAACAAAATACATGCAAAACTGAGAAACACAAAACTGAGGGAGAAGGAGTCAAGTTTCTTGTTACAATTCAGACAGAATTCTGTGGTGAGCTTTCCACAGCAGTGTGGAGAATGCAGGGCTAACAGCCTCAGGCGAGTGTCTGGAGAGTGCAATGGGACTAGTACAATGTGACAAGAGCGCTGAAGCCTGTAGCGAGACCATCTTAAGGTTACACGCTACCGCTGCTGCAATGACCAAAGTTCTTCCCCTGCAGCCTGCAGACACTATGATCTAGGAGCACTGGATGAAAGTGGCAGTGGCCTGAGCCACTCTTGAACTCGGACTCCAAGAAGGCATCTTAGTCTTTGTGAGGCACTCAAGCCAGCGGTTGTAATTAAGCCTTCTGCCTTAAAAGAGCCAGAGAAAATGAGCAAGCAGAACCAGCTCTGAGGAAGCTGGATTTTAAGTTAATTGAAGATGTACTGAAATCCCAAACCTGAAGAAAAAAAGGGCTGACTCAATCCTATTAGGGGATCACTGCACACAAGTTTCTCAAGTCAATGTACAGCTGAGTGTCAAATACCCTGAGCACCAGGGTTCCCTCCAGCACCTCTTGCCAGAGGCAGCTCCCCAGGCTGTCACTCCCAGGACACTGGTTCAGAGCTGTCACTAATCTTCCCTTCTTTGCTCTACCCCACTGAGAACACTCCTGCCTGCTTTCAAGGGGCTGTACAATCCTTCTTCCTGCTTCCTCTGCAGGCACAGAACAGAACACAACAGGGCATGCTTATTTCTCCTGCTGTGCTTTCAGGCAGCGCTGCCTGTTAAGTTACATGATTAATGTCTAATTAACATGAACACAACAACTTGGTGAGGATCAGATAGCCAAGGACAGGTGGAGAAAACCCAGTAACCTAATGAGTGCAATCTGAGCATGCTGGCTTGGCCACTCCTTGCCACCGTCAAACAAGACAGATTAGGTCACTATCCACTGTGTATAACCCTCCAAGATGAGTAAACCAAATAAACACATGCAACCCTAAAGAGGTGCAGGCCTTAGTATGAGATGCAGGTGAAAAAGAATCCTGGGATGTTTTAGGAGAGTTGTGTAGAAGCATGAAGCTTGTTACAAAAATCTACGGGACAGACGGAAATCAGGGAAAGGGATGAAATCAAAATTAATTTGCTTTAGCCAAGTTTAAACAAGTGGCTAGTTATGAGTGCCCGTCTGACGGAGGCCTGCAATGGGTAACTGCAGTCTGTCTTATATTCTCATTAAAGATGTTTAACCACCTTCAGGGCAGAGGCTCTCTTTCTCACCTGTATGCGTTTGTATGAACACTAAGTGAACCTCAAGCTCAACCAGCCAGTGAGTAGAATAAACAGTCTGAGTATCAGGAACTGGAATGGGACCATGAACCCCAGGGACTCAGAGGTCCACGTACCAGCTACTGGAGGGACCCACAGAGCGTGTGTATGTTCCACTAGCGGAATTCAATCCTGGTCAGACAGAAAGGAAGCCCAAGATCAGGCCTGAGTGTTGGGTGTTCATGTGCTGGTAAAGGCATTGTGGTCTGTCTGTATTAATCCATGTGGGCAGCTATGTTAGCACTGTGCATGTCTGTATCTGTCGGGAATACCTGCTCAGTCCTGTTACTTACTGGACCTGGGGACATGGAAGTACCACCTCACACCTACTAGGAGAAGTTGACACAGTCCTCAAATCCACTAGATTCTGCAACACCTAACACAGCCTACCTGGGAGACAAAACACTCCTGCACTGGAACTCCACCTCTGTAGAGCTCCCAGTGATTCATGAGCAAGAAATTTAGCAGCCTTTAGATTTAAAAAATTCAAAAAAGCACGTGATGCCAATTCATCTGACCCAACATGTGAGCAGCTTACAGAAAAAGCACTATTTAGAAACCCTTTTCGCAAAGACTGCTGGGACATTCATTAAGAGAACAAGTAACTAAGACCCTCGGCAAAGCTCCCTACATCAAAAGCAGAGAACACCTAAATTAGTGAGGCTGCCTTTCGAAGCAACCTGTCCTGTTCCCGGCATTGCCCTCTGTTGTCTGAAATGGCAATTAACCACTTTCCCACTAGAGTAGAAAGTTCTCCTGGCAGCACTCTGATCTCAGCACACTACAAACACAAGCTGCTCACCTTGTACTCGGCTTTCGGTCTGCGCAGCTCTGGGGCGTAGTTTTTAATTCCCACGTCAGAAATGGCTGAAAGGGAAAGGCAAAGCTGAGCAGTACACAAAAATCCTGATTCATGCCCACTTTCAAAAAGACCTTTCTTGGTTTTTCGGGTAGAAGACCCAAACTCAGGGGCCAAAGAGCAACACAAAGTTGCTCTACATCCAACAGTCATCAGTTGTACATAAATAGATTACCCCAAACCACCATGACAACTCTTTTGCTTCTTTGCTGAATGATGTTCAGACAATCCATGATGCAATTTCCCTTTCTGTAATGTAAGGAAGATGACACTTCCCTTTTTTCGAAAATGTTTTGTTTTGTGTAAATCTACATCCCTCCCAAAACGAGGCAGGGATTCAAAACTTACCATCTGAAAGGGACTGGAAACTTGGAAGTTTGTTTCGTCCTGAAATGAAAACAAACACTCATAAGAGACAGTCTCTTCAGCAGCAAAATCTCTTGCAGAGGGAACACAAGCCTAGACTGGAAGCCAGCACGCTGCAGCTATGCCACTGTGGAATAAGTCCCTCTGCACGGTGATTCACATGACACCGTCATAGCTGGGGCTCACCCACTGGCAGCCTAAGGCTCTGAAGTTGTCTGTGTCATCACAAACCATATCACACCCCATCCTGTCTGGCCCTTGTTGCTGAGACCAGGAGAAATCAAGAGGGGCTGAAATTATTCATCTACCTGCAGAGCAGAGGCTCAAGCTCACAGCACTGCTCAGGCCATGGCAGCGTGGATGGCTTCTTTCACCACAGCTGCCATTCGAATCCCTTTCATTTTCACTGTATTATCAAAGTTCAGAGTAAAAAAACACCCCAGAGAAAGACAGACAAAGTAAAAGCTGGTTTGTTGTCAGGCTGTGAGACACGAGCCAAACTCTTGCAAGCTGTGTAAGTCTCTGCATGGCCTCCTGCACAGCTCCCACCATAACCAGCTATGCCATGTGTTTGCTGAGCCAACACCACCAGCAGCCAGCTGAGCTCCAAACAAAGGATAATTAATCTGTCTTCTACAATACAAGGGACTGGCTTGACACATTCTTTTCCACCATGCAAATGGATTGCTGGACAGCGCTGTGCTCTACCTCGCTGTTCTGTGAAGCCTGGCTTTTAAGAAGCCATAATCTCCAAAGCTCCCTCCCATACCACAGGAGCGTGCGATGTTCTCCACAAGACAGGCTCCAAGATGTGACCCGTGAGAGATACACCACCACACCAAGGAGAGATCAGAGCTTCTCTGTTTTGCAATACACATAAGAGAAAACGACTGACATAAGACAACACAATTGCCCCTTCACACTCTTGAGGGAAAACCCATTTGGCCATACTGCATAGAAGGCACCTCACCTTTGAATAGGCTGCTTAGGGAGTAGGAGGAAACTTGTTTGGGAAGAGCAGCATAGGAGGAAGAGCCCTTTTGCAGGCTGGAGTCTCGGCCCTCCAACGAGCTGGTGTTGCTAGAGGCTGTCTCTTTGATCGACCAGGAGATACCTGTGCACAGACAGAGGTCATTTATAAGAGGAAGAGGAAACCAGTCTGTAAGGAAATGGTCTTACGGCACGGCAGGAATTAAACCAAGCGTGTCCTGTCAGTTCTGCACTAGCACATCTTCATAACTTTGACGCTCAGCACTAGGCAGGTGCAGCGCACACAACGCCAATCTCATATAATACTGCTTGTTAAACATTTGTGCATTATCTTCCAGAAATGATTGATTTCAGCAATGTTGTACAGCTGGTTAAGACTTATATAAAAAAAATCACAGATCACCCAACATCCATACGTTGTTGCTTGAGATAAAGCATAATCTTTGCTCTAAAGGTACAGAAGAAGACAGGGATTCCCTGGCTTACTTTCAGTTGCAGAAACACAAGAGTATACCTTTCCGAACACTGGAAAATTAAGACAGTTTTCCATCCCCCACAAAGAAAACAGCTATTAATGTGCATATGCTGCTGGGAACAACACGTATGTCTCCCTCCTGATTGTTGGAGACACAGTTTTCCCTTCTTTTAATGCAGCTGCGCAACACACACATTTCAAGACGGGTGATAAGAGCAAAAAAGCTCATAGGTAGACTTTGGGTGGGAAAAGAAATGGCCTGAACCATAGGGAGGAGCTACGGGACAAGGAGAAAAAGAAGAGACTCTGAAGGTCCTCTGGGTGATCTAAACGTAAATTTTCATTGTTTGGCACTGGCTAGCAAGTGCCACATATTCCTTGAGTCATGAACTCCAAAGAACAGCAGATAGAATCCCATGTGGATTATGAGATTGCTCCCATCATCACTAGAAATAGTCAATGCTTACAATTCCCTTTCAAACCTCAAGTATATGAGTCAATCTACAAGTACACACTAAACCTTGGAATATCTCCTTCCAGTGCTGTAGGAACAAAGCAGAGAGAGCTCTAAATGGTGCCATTTCAGGCAGCAGTGCAAAGGAAATGATCACATAGGATCCTGCAGGCCAGCTGAGTATAACCTCCAAAATATCTGGTCTAAGATGGGCTACATATTGGGAAAAGCACAGTGAATTCCCTCCACTTGTTCGCACTCCTTTATGTAATTTGGGCTTCTGCTCCCTCCCTTTTCAGACTTACCTGGATGGATCCCTTTTCAGTGGATTCACCCAGGTAAATCAAGTGGCTCGCAACATGACCTGAGGAGACTAGAATTAGATTAAATTAGATATGCAGGATTTGATAGCAAGTAGCACTCCTGACCTTAACTAAACAACATGACTTAAACAGCAATTTTAAACTCCCTCTGTCTAAAGGATAACTTTCAGTTCTTTTGTACTTACTTCCCACAGGTTCTCCGCTCCAGCTGACCCTCTCAAGGTCGTCATCATCATCATCAACAATATCCCGAAGGCTGTTCACTGCCCGTTTGGATTCCTTTAACTACGGGAAAAATAAAGAGTTTGTGTAAGGACCACCAGTGTTGCAGAGCATGCTCTGTTCCCTATCACCATCAAACAATCTCCCTCGGAGGTTTGAAAACAGCTCCTTCAGCTTCCACTGCCTCTTCTGGAGGAGATGCTTGACGCCTGAAGGTGCTG